ATGGTGTCCGTTTCGTCCCACCCCTGGAATGTTTTGCTGAGGAGGCGAGAAGTACAATAAAATTGCTGCTTGGCTTGCTAACTACAGGTTTGCCGCCGAGCTCTGGCTCGGCGGGGGACGGCGGGGGGGTCGCGATAATCTGTACCGATTGGAGGCCTTATGGTACGGTTGCAGGAGCAGGGCGTGCCCGCACACCCTGAGGGACCAGGGGGGCCTAGGAAGCCTTCCACGGGCAACCCAAAACGTTGCAACTACCGATGCCCACACGCTTTTTTTTATTGGAGGGCCGAGGGGAGCCAGGCCGGGAACGTGGCCCACCGGCGAAAAGGCCCCCCCACAAGCTGGCACGCCCCTGCGGGCTCCGAGGCTCCTAGGAAAATTCCACGATCCCACCCCAAACTGTCGGTGCACATCAACACTCATGCTCTACGATTATTATCCCATGATGGTGTCCGTTTCGACCCACCCCTGGAATGTTTTGCTGAGGAGGCGAGAAGTACAATAAAATTGCTGCAAGGCTTGCTAAAGTCAGTTTGCCGCCGAGCTCTTCCCACCTCCGCTTGCGAGCTGTATGTGTCTCAACAGCTTGGTCCTTCACCCGGGGCACAAAATGTGCTCGGACCTTGATGAGTTGAGAAGGAACCTGGAACACAATCAAAATTGAAAGCAAGCCCCCCAGGCCCGCCCTCGCAGTGTGCACCAGAAAACTCCTAAATCTTCGGTGACCACCCTAGACTCCGAACAAAACGAGCTGCAAAACACTCTTAACTGCCATATATACAGCACGAAGTAGCATACGGGCAATGTTGATCCAGGCACCTGGGAGCCTGGCAACTTGAATTTCACGATCAGTCATGGACATGTAGCGTATCTCGGGGAGTGGGAGCCCCTCCAGGGTGGAGTTTATGTGAGCCACGACTGTATCTCTCTCTGAGCTGATGTCGCAGTCGAGGCTGCTCCAGACTGGGTTGCTCCACTGAACCTTGAAGTTTACGATCCGCTCGACCAGGTGGACTCCGTAGAACCCGGACGGCAGCAGGTCAAGTGTCATGTGCAGCTCGCGGTATTGACTTGGCCAGATCATCATCTGCCATCTCTCTGACATGTGAGGTATGTTCACCGAAGCTTCAGAGATCGCGGTGGTGACCTGCTCGGCTCCTGGCGGGCGAGGCTCGTCTGTCAGGAACTCTCGCTCGATCCAGGCTTGCAGGATCTCGGGGTCGTCCGCTAGCCGCTCGGCGTGGCGCTGGCGGACGTGCAGGTTGGTAATGTCGACCCCGCGCCAGGCTTCCTGCAGGAGGCTCGCCGAGCTGCGGGGCGACGTCACGGCGAAGTCGGACACGCCCTGTGCTGCCGTGATGACTGCCCCGAGGCCGCTGTCGACCACTTTGCCAGCCGAGACTGATACGCTGGCCACGACACCCATCATGGCCCCGAGGTGGGCGAGCGGCCCGGCCATGTAGCTCCACCCGATCAGCATCGCGGCGACCGCCGCCCACGTCACTCCTCGAGTAGTCGAGCGTCCGCACCACCTTGCGATGAGCCAGGCCGCGCGCAACAGCGACCAGCTGCTCCAGCGCGCGCGCCTTTGCCCCGCGGCCGCGCCCGCTGCCAGCGGCTGCGCCACCAGCGGCTGCGGGGGCCTCAGAGCCGCCACGCCTGGGGCCGCCGGCGCTGGCGCCTCGGCCTCGGCCGCGCCCGCGCCCGCCGCTGCATCCCCCGGCTGCTGCGGACCCGCCAGCAGCCCATCCACCAGTGCGCCCAGCGCTGGCGCAGGCGGCTGGGCTGGGGCCCGCGGCGCTGGCGAGGCCACCCGGCGGCCCCCCGCCAGCGGCGCTGGAGGGACTCCCTCTGTCGGCAGCACCCAGGCGCCGTCCTGGCCCTTGCGCCAACCCGCTGGCGGCATGCTGGAGGCCCTCCCCCTCGCCGAAGATGCCCTCCGGGAAGTAGTGGGGCAGCTTCTCGGCCGCCTCGCGGATGAGCGGTGCGATTCCTCGCTGCTCAGCCTGCGCCAGGACCCGGGAGGCGGTGACGACGTCCACGTAGATGCGGAGGCTGGACTCGGTGAGCCACCGTCCTGCCTCCTTGATGTCCTGGAAGGGGACGCCACGAGCCACGGAATCGCTGGCGAAACCTGCGCGCGCCGAGTGTGGCGTCCAGTGAATGTCGAGGCCCAGGGCTGCTTCAAACTGCTTGAGCCGATGCCTGTAGTCGACAAGCGAGTAAGGAAAGAGGAGCCCCTCGGGCGGCGTTCCCAAGACTACTCGGTGCAAGAGGTTCTCCAGTACTCCGCCCTGCTCCAGAATAATGGCGAACTGCATCCTTTTGGCCTTTGTCCCCGACTTGGCTCCCAGGTTGATAACCCAATTTGGCTGCAGATCAGGTCCCCCTCTCGACGATGGCAAGGATATGTCTTTTGCTCTGAGCTGAAGCATCTCCGACGGGCGCAGGCCGCGGTCCACCTGCAGTAGCAAGCCTACGCCCAGCCGCGGCACGCCCCAGCAGGATAAATAGATAGCGGCCAGGTTAGCCGGCGCGCGGCCGAGCGGCGGCGCGTGCTTCACCTCGGCCGACACTCGCCATGCGTCAATCACCGAGTGGGACCAAGTCAGCTTCCTCCTCAGGCGTGGGAAGACAAACTCCACTGCCGCGACAGCGTACTCGAACTTGCACTTGGTCATCTGCATGTCGTTCTTGTATTCGACAAGCAGGTCGTCCCGCTGCTCGGGCCCGTCGGGGACAAAACCGTGCTCGTCCAGGTAGGTCACGAACTTCATAGCCGCCGCCCTGTAGGCTGCCAGGGTGTGCGGCTTTACCTTCTCAACAGAAGTGCTGTCCAGCTTCCTCGGCCCCGACATGAGGTAGGCCGCGGAGCTCAGCACGAGTCAGGCACCTCGATATCTTATCAGCAGGCTGCCTGAGCGTCTCCACCCATGGAATCAGAATCTTCGTACGAGATGCCATCCCTGCTGCGGTCTTCTGACGCAACAGGCGGTTCAACATGTGCGCCGGGGACCTCCCCTTGCATACCGCACCCGAGACTGGCTGGTTGTCCTCCAGGATCGGCAGCACGGTGCGGTGTAGGGCAGGTGTGGCGGCCGCCAGTCTGCTGATCTTCACGACGCAGCGCCCCTCGCCCAGCGTGATGTGATCGGCCGCCCGCCACCTCCCCGCTCCTACGATCGTCCAGTCCTCGTCGGGCTTGAACACTCGATCGGGGAGGAGGCTGAAGGGCTTCGTCCGACGGATGACCTGCTCGGGACGCCGCAATCCAGTAAGCTCGCCGTCCAGTCGCGCCACGGTGTAGCCCAAGTTGCCGCCCGTGTCGATGAAGTCCTTCGCGATGTCCTCGCTCATGTCTGTCACCAGGATGCCCCAACCGCCGTCGTCCTCCACGTTGGCGCCCATGGCGTCCGCCGCGAAATACACGGGGGCTGGCGGGGCTCCCAGGTCGGCGTACATCAGCGGGACTACTCGAGCCATAGCCCGCAGCTCCCTGCGGACGGTCGCCCAGGTGCACACCCTCTGGTGCGGGTGCCTCTCCAGGAGCCTGAAGACGGCGCTGGGTATGCAGAGCAGCTCCCTCCGAAGCAGTGCGCCCCAGATCCACACCCCCAAGAGCGACCGAAGCTCCTCGGTGTGGAGGGAGCGGGTGGCGCCCATCGCCTCCAGCTGCTGCACCAGCTCTCGTGCCCTCTTCGGGGGCAAGCGTAGCTGCGCCGGACGCGCCTGTGGTGCGTAGCCCAGCACCTTCTGCATGTCGCTGGCCTCCGTGCGGTCGGTGACCACGAAGCCGGCCTCGGCCAGGGCATCCGCCAGCTGGTGCATCTTCCCAGAGGCCCGTGGGCCACAGCCGCTGCCACCGGCCATCACCACCCCGTCGTCGACGTGCAAGTAGAAGGCCATCTGCGGCCCGTCCAGCACCAGCCCACGACCGCGAAGCACATCCTCGTTCCGCACGGCTACCGCTGGCGTCGTAGTGCTCCGCGAGCTCCAGGCGGTGACCGACCTGTCGGCCTCCGGCGGCCTTCGCCACCCGGTGCCGCCCAAGCCGGTCTGCTCGAAGATGGCCAGGGTCTGAACAATCAAGGTGCCCAGCGTTTCGCACATCCCCTCGGGGTACTGGGCCAGCGGGCTCGTGCGGAAGGTGCCGTCGGCCAGCTTGCCCTCGGCCGTCTGGTGGGCATGGGGCCCGTCGCACCGCAGCTCGTTCAGGTCCTCCAGCCCCTGCAGCGCGCCGCTCAGGCACGTGGGCTTCTTCGTCCGTCCGCCCAGCATGCATTGGTCCAAGCACGCTCTCCGCGACGAGCGCCTCGTCTCGAAATCCAGCATCTCAGTCGTGTTCCAGATGGATGGGTAGGGCGCATGCCCTGGGTCCTCCGGGTGCTCGATGAGGAAGGCGCCGCCGCTCTGGCCGCACGCCTCGCAGAGCGCCAACAAGTTAAGCGTCAAGGTGTTACTCTCCGAGACTCTGGCGGCCTCCCAGTCCCTGAGGCCTGACAGCCCCCAGGGGCACCGCCGCGAGCGCACCGGCGGCGGCCCAGGTCGGCGACGATTGTAGCGTGCCCGCGACCAGGTCGAACAGGGCGGACCGCCCAGTACGATGTCCACCCAGCCGCCCTCGCACAGCTCCATCAAGGCGGAGAACGTGGAGGGGTTGGCCAGGTCCCACCGCGGGTCGTCCAGGAGATCGGCGGAAAGGAAGAGCACCCTCAAGCTCCGCTCCTTCGCCAGCCTCTCTACCACCTCCTGCACGTCACCACGCCGCCGACGGCCAGCGAAGAGATGCATCACCACCATCACACGCTCGTCATCCCTCTTCGCCCGCCTCACTGTCTCCAGCCACTCCGCCACGCTGTAGCCCCTCGGGCTAGGCGGCGCAGCCCGGCAGCTGGACTGCTGCCCTAGCCAGTCGTCGTCGTAGCGGTGCTGCTGAGCGCCCTCAGGCTCGGCATCCCCGCGGCTGCCGGCCTCCAGCCCCCCGTCCTCGGGCGGCGAGGTGCGCGGCGCACAGCAGGCCGCGCCGTCGGCGGGAGCCGCGGCGCCCACGAGCGCCCCCAAGCGTGCGCCCACGCCCAGCAGCGCCCTGCCGATGATCGCCATGTTGACCGTCATGAGCAGGTGCACGGAGTGCGAGCCGCCCATGGCCAGGCGATGGTAGCAGGGGGCTATCCAGCCCGTCGGCCCCAGCCTGTCGCGCAGACGCTGGCTGAGCTTGCCCCGCACCCAGCAGGCGCGCATCGGCGGGCATGCCTGCCACCTGGCCATCCAAGCGGGGACGCGGAGGCGGGTGAAGGCGTTGTCCTCGTCGAACGCAGCCACACCCCACTCGTCCGTCGGGGCGCACATGGAGGCGATGGCTGCCCCGCCGTGCATCCCGTGGTCGCCGCGCTGGTGGGGGTCCGCCCACACGTAGTTGCTGGCACACATCATCAGGACCTTCCGCTGCTTGGCGGGGTCCTTCTTGGGTACACAACTAAACCCGCAGTAGGCCTGGACATCGCTTGGGTCCTCGAACGTCCACATGTCCTTCGGCAGATCGGCCCGCATCAGGTAGCGGGCGTACTCGGACGTCGAGCCCCCCACGAAAGCGAAGCGTTCCTCCAGCTCCTCGAAGAGAACCCCTGACTTGCCGCTGTAGTCCAGGACGTTCCGCTCGTCCGAATAGTACTGGCGCTCGCCGTCGGGCAGCGCCTCCAGCAGGTCCACGACCATGTCGTCCGGAGGTTCTGCCACCGCCGCTGCGCACATCATCGCGTGCTTGCTCACACCCTTGCGCTCTCCAGTGTAGGCGTCCTGCGGTCCTCTGTCGCAGGCAAGATCCGCCCCTTGACCGCCTGTCGGGGCAAGCCCCCGGCAGTCGCGCTCGTGCCGCGCTGCGTCCTGTAACGCATACTGCTGCACGAGCTGCCAGGCCAGCATCATCTCGTTGTCGCTCGTCTCGCGCTGGCCCGTTGGTCTCGCCTCCAGGGATCCGCGGTCCATCCCGTTCATGAGCTCGATGAGCCCACAGGCCCGACGCCACGCACGCATGCGTCGAGCCCAGCGCGTCCTCAACCTGCCTGAAGAGGAAGCTCCTTGTTGTGGCCGATGAGGTAGAGGTATGGGAAAGAACGACCTGGCCTCGGCCTCCTTCCACTGCAGGGCCCGCGTCAGCGAGCCTGACAAACCCGTCACTGGCATTCTAGGCTGCACCCGCGGCGGCGGGGCACCTGCTCGGACCGAGGGAGGGTCGTAAGCCCCTCGGTCCGCCAGTGACCGTCAGGCCTGGGGTTTGCCCCGGCCCGAGGGCTTACCCCCTCGGCCGCGGCCGCGCCCCCCGCCATCGCCACCTCGGCCTCGGCCGCCGCTGGCTACCTCGCTGCCGCCCCCCGCTCCACCTCCTTGGCCCCCGCCACGGCCGCTGCCTCGACCGTCGTGCTTGCTGGCGGCATGACCCTCTCGTCGCGCTGGTGCTCCGCCTGGCTGTGGGTCGTGGCCTCGGTCACCAGCCATGTCGGAGCCAAGTCGGCGGCTGACCCGGGCGGGCGGACAGCCAACATGGCCGCCCCCCCAACCTTGTCCTTCGTCCGCATCTCGTAGACGTAGCTCGCCAGCCGCCTCAGGTGCAGCTCCAGCGCATCGTCGGACGCCAGACGGGTGAGCAGCTCGGACTGGGTCGCGCAACCGCCCAGCAAGTAGTCCACGTTGGTGGCGGCAGTCCACAGGTCGGTCCAGACCGCCGTGTGTCGCTGGCCCGTCACCTCCTGCGACAGCCAGTCCCGCGCGCTGGCCGCCCCCGCGCCCCGCATGGTGCGGTAGATCTCCGGCGCCGCGCGCCGCAGCTCCGGCGGGAGGCCCAGGTTCCATCGACTGTCCTCCTGATGCTGCTGGGTCTGCGGGGCCACGGCCCACCCAGGGGAGGCGTGCATGCCCCCGCCGAGCGGCGCCGTAGGGGAGGCGAGCAGCGCGTCCAGCTCCTGCTCCAACGACTCTCCTGGCGGGGACTTCGTCCCCGCTCCCACGTAGCCGTGAGTCTGCAGCACTCGTCGGAGGTCAGGGTGCAGCCCCCTGGAGCCATCCACGGCCGCGATCCTCTCCCAGAAGTGCCAGGCCCAGTCCTCGTTGATGGCCGCCTGCGCCTGGAACTCGCGCAGCGTGGCGCCCACTATCTCCACCTCCCGTCCTAGCTTCACCGCATCTGCAGGAGCGTGGGGAACGTGGAAGCTGAGCCCCGATGCTGGCACGGCCACCTCTGGTGTCGGCTGTGGCTGCTGCTGCTGCTGCTGCTGCGTAGCCGCTGTCTGGCTGAAGGGGCCCGGCACCTCGCACCCCTGGGCGAACGCCCGCAGCGCCGACAGGTCCTGCGCGCCAGGCTTCGCCGCAGCGGCACCCGCGCCAGCGCCCTCGGCGGGCGGGGCCCACGGCGGAGGCGGCAGTGCTGCAAGCCCCGGCGGGTGCAGCGGGCCCGCAGGTGCCTCCGCGGCCTCGGCGGCGGTCCGGTCCAGGCCGTCCCCGCCGCGCCTCCGCGCCGCGGCGAAGGCCGAACGCCGCCGCCAGCGTGTCCACCAGGCGACCACCCGCTCGGGCACCCGCCGTACCAGCAGGAAGGTCCCGACCAGCCCTACAGCCCCGCCTGCCAGGCGGCGTCGCACCGAGTCGGCCCCCAGCACCACCGCCAGACTCGACAGGAAGAGACCTATGCCAAGGTGCAGCACCCAGTCGACGGGCAGCGTGTTCCCGTCGGCGCCCACCGCTCGGGCCCAGATCCGATCCGCGATCGTCCCCCAGCCATCGGCGTCGGCCGCCACTCGTCTGATCCGACCCTCCGTCTGCGTGGCGAAAGTGGCGGCCTCTGCAAACCCCCAGAGGGCCTCGGCCATCTCGGAGCCTGGCACCTCGGGGTTCCCCGACGCCAGGCGGACGGCCACCGGGTCCAGCGCCGCCTCCAGGCGCCGTGCCTCGTCCCGCTTGGAACGGGGGGCTCGCCCTGCGTTCAGCGTCGACCTCACCTTCAGGACGAGCTCGGCGACGTCGTCGTCTGTGACGTCGGCACCCCCGCCCCGCAGCGCCTCGGTCCCCGCCTTCTTGGCGTCTGCAGACACGGCCATCCAGCTCTGCCTGGCGTCCGCCGCGCCGCAGGCCCACAGCGCCCAGCACACCAGCTCGCCGCGGCCTGCTGCTCCTGGGCCGCTCGCCGCGGCCTCGCACAATCTTCGATTCCACGGGTGGAGCCGCTGCTCCCGTCAGGGCGCCATGCCGCGCCCTGCTGCGAGGTGGGCTGGGCGCCCAGACCTCGCGATAATCTGTACCAGATTGGAGCCATATGGTACGGTTGCGGAGCAGGCCGTGCCGCACACGCGAGGGCAGGGGGGCCTTCACGGGCAACCAAAACACAACCTACCGAGCCCACCCATTTTGGAGGGCCGAGGGGAGCCAGGCCGGGAACGAGGCCCACCGGCGAAAAGGCCCCCCAACAAGCTGGCACGCCCCTGCGGGCTCCGAGGCTCCAAGGAAAATTCCACGATCCCACCCCAAACTGTCGGTGCACATCAACACTCATGCTCTACGATTAGCATCCCATCATCATCATCATCATCATCATCATCATCGTCATCATCATCAGCATCATCATCATCATCATCTTCTTCCCAACCATCCTGCGGTGTTGGGTCCTCGATTTGAAGAGGCGGTGCCCCGCGCCACACCCAGTGCAGCGTTTCGTAGCCCCACAGGGAGCTCCACCGAAGGGCCCAAAGAGGGTGCCCGCATGCGCCCCGCGCACCCGGTACAGCGTTTCGTGGCCCCACAGGGAGCTCCACCGAAGGCCCCAGTGAGGGTGCCCGCATGCGTCCCGCACACCCAGCACAGCGCTTCGTGGCCCCATAGGGAGCTCCACCGAAAGGCCCAGTGAGGGTGCCCGCATGCGTCCCGCACACCCAGTACAGCGTTTCGTGGCCCCACAGGGAGCTCCACCGAAGGCCCCAGTGAGGGTGCCCGCATGCGTCCCGCACACCCAGTACAGCGTTTCGTGGCCCCACAGGGAGCTCCACCGAAGGGCCCAGTGAGGGTGCCCGCATGCGTCCCGCACACCCAGTACAGCGTTTCGTGACCCCACAGGGAGCTCCACCGAAGGCCCCAGTGAGGGTGCCCGCATGCGTCCCGCACACCCGCACCCATTCCGCGGCCTTCTCCTGCACCCATTACGCGGCGCCTTCTCCTGCACCCATTCCGCGGCCTTCTCGGTCGACTCCGTCGCGTGGAACTCGCATCCCCGCTCGAGATTCAAGCGCTGGCACTCGAAGCCCTCGGCCATCATCCCTGTTGTCAGCCGAGTGGTTGGCGAGCAGCATGCCTCGGCGAAATCGGCTCTGGGCTGGGTTGATACCTTCATAATGGAACCGACGAGGCCCGTGATCGCGCGCCCCATCGCGAGGACGCCCGCGCGCAGGATATTCTGCTGCTTGGTCGTGAAGCTCTTCAGGCTTCCGCCTCGTCCACCTCGATCAGAGCCTGATCCCGCACGTCCAGATCCAGGACGGTCGGCGCTCTGCTGGATCTTCACCTGCTGGACCTTCACCGCGACGGGGGGCGCTCACTTCGCCGCGGCCGGCGCCTGCTGGCGAGTCGCAGGCGGCGCCTTCCAGGCGCGCGACCTGGCGAAACCGAGGTTACCTCGCCGAGCTCCTTCTCTACAAGATCACGCCTCGGCCCGTCTGGTTGGAGGTGCGTCGCGTCGACGGGGAGAACCGCGGTCTTGCCCAGCTCTTTCTTGCACCTGCCCCTGCGCTTGGACTGCTCGTGCTTCTTGATTAGGTGCCTGACCGAAGTCGCTGTCGGCTCCAGGTCGCCCATGATCATCTCGTCCAGCACCTGCTGCACCACCTCAGGCTGTCTTTGACTGCGGTAGTTTCCCGAGAAACCCTTCTTCGGAGCGCAGTCCAACCTGGAAGCGCACTTGTCGCGCTCCAGCCACGCCCCGGAAATATTCTGTTGGTAGCTCGACACCTCGCGCTGGCCGTAACACGGGCAGCGGTTGCATCGCGGGTCCGGCCGACTGGGCGGGCGCGGTCTGTCCCGCAGGATGTCCCCGCGGTCCGCGCATGGAACCTCGGTGTGCGTCCGGGGCATACGATATGGAATAACTGGACTGAGATCCCCTCAGAGCCTGAAGTCGGCTCGAGAGGTCTTGCAGCCAAGATGCCAGCGGAGGGGTCGAGCTCGAGCTGGAAGACATCATGCCACCAAAGAAAGCTCGATCGTCGGTTCGACTGGTCACAACCGTCCGTGAAACAACCTGCCCTGGAGAGTCTCGGATCGAGTGGCATTGTCGTGACAGACGATCCCTTATGGCCATCGTTCGCTGGAATCGCTTAAACCGGTCGCGAGCGGGATCAGGTCGCTGGTCTCCTCGGCCGCCCGGATCGTCAGGTCGAAAGAGATCGCGCCCACGAACGACCCAGGTCATCTCCTCGTAGATCGCGCCCACGATCTCGCTCGAGACGCAATCGTCGCTCGGAATCTAGCGTTCCTGACCGCCTCGAATCTAACTGCGCTGAAGCTTCTGACTGGCGACGGTGATGGCGACAAGCAGCATCTGACTGACTGAAGACGCTTTCTCCCGATATTTCCTGGTCGCCCGCATGCCCTAGGCTATCTCGGGCGCTGGCGCGCTGCCCCTAGCCAGTCGGCTTCTTGGGCTTCAGGGGCCCAAGCACGTCCAGGAGCCTATGCCCAGAGCGGCCTCGGCGCAGACTCACCACCTCCGCCGGCTTGCCCTCCTGGTCGTAGAGCTGCAAAGAAATGCCTCTGAAGCTCACGTCGCGATCGCTCAACCAATCGACTCCCGTCAAGACGGGCGCATCGTCGGCGTCCAAAATGGACGCGCCAAGCCAACCCACTGGCACATGAAGCCGCGCCTTGGACGAAGCCTGGCCCCTCTCTCCTTTTGCAAACTTGAACCGCGGCTGTCGGCTCCGTCGATGTGGCACTCAGTCTGCGGATACTCATTCATCGCCGTCTCGACGAGCGAGGCCACCGCGTCTCCGCCGCCCGCCGCAGTAGTCGCCCGGCAGCCCAGCGATGGCTCGGCAGACGCAGGATTGGACATTGACTAGATCACGTGACGGTCAAAGATACCCCAGTTCACGCAGCGCAATGGCTGGCCCTAGCACGCGCCGACACTGTTCTTGCCTTTCGAAGGGCCCTTGGATCCGAAACCCTTGCCCTTGGAAGCGACCTGTCTGCCTTTGGCCGAGTGGTGATCAGGACACTCGCGCCAGTTATGATCAGGTCGGCCGCGGATCAAACATCCCCTGCCCTTGTTGCTCGAGCTGCTTCCCTTTGCCCTGCTCTTGCTCGGAAAGAAACCTTTGTTCTCGCGAGCCTCGGCCACTGCTGCGCGCGCCTCGGACAAAGCGCGACTGGCCTTCGCTGCGAGAACCTCCGCGGCGGTCGCTTGCTCCTCCAGGGCCTTGTACGTGGGTAAGCTCGCTCTGCTGTGGCGGTGGATCCTGTCGGGTGTGCTGTGCCCACTGCTGCTGGTCCGGGTCCTGGGATGGCCACGAGCCATATAATCGTTCCAATCGATGGCCGATGACTCGAAGTCAGCAGGGTAAAATCCACACCACCAAATACTGGAAGCATCGTCGCACTGCCAATGTACCGGCCACTCATCATCCTCACCCTTGAGAGCTGAACGCCACCCCTCAAGATCTTCCTGCTCGAACGCAAACGCACGGCCTCTGAAACCACCTCTCAGCTGTGATCGATCTCGATCGCGCACATCATTGTCGCCCCAGGCGGCCCGAAGTGTCGTCGCCACCGCCTGGCAGCTAGTGTCGTCCTGAGTGCCCGCCAGGATCATCTGTCTCTCTCCTCGCGTCGAGGCCGCGCATTGTGTAACAGGCGACAACCTCGAAGCTCTGACTCGAAGAAACTCAACGCCCTGTCATCGGCACTCTCCTGATAAGACTTGACCTCGTCTGGCTCGCATGCTTCTGCCTGTTCCGCCGCTTCTTCGAATCGTTCTTCGCCGATATTCGTATCTGCCGCGGATCTCGTCGCCCTGGTCTCCAGCTACTCCAGGTAGGCGTGTCCCGCCAGTCTACTGGCCCGAACGACGCTGGCGATCCTCTCGCACTCTCCGTAAAGCTTGTCGCGTCTCCCTGAGCGGGTCATCCTCTATGATGATGTATTCTCCGATCACCTTGCCCTGCTTCCGAAACAACTGATCGCGCCCTGTAGTCTTCTGGTAGGCGTCGGGGATCGGCATCTTGGCGAGAGGCCCTTCCCGAAGGTGTCGGAGAAGATTGTCAGCGCCATCGCCTTTCAATGTCGTCGCTGGTCGTAGATCCTTCACCGCTTCCTTGGCAGCTCCCTTCAGCACGGACCACAGTGGAACTGCGGCGAACCGAGAGACAACCGACGGACAACCGAAAAGTAACCAACACCAGCCAGCAAAGGACAAACGAGAAATCGAGCGACCGAGGGCCAGCCGGGGGCAAGGCGCGACCACGGCAACCGACGGACAACCAACGGACAACCGAACAATTTCCAAAACCAGCCAGGAAGGGGGAAACGAGAGACCGAGCGACCGAGGGCCGGCCGAGAGCCAGGCGCGACCACAGCAACCGACGGACAACCGACGGACAACCGAAACAACAAACCAAAACCAGCCAAGAAGGGGCAGACCCGAGACATCGGGCGACCGAGGGCCAGCCGAAGGCCAGGCGCGACCACACACACCAACGGACTACCGACGGACAGCCGGAAAAACAAAAAACAAAGCCAAAAAAGGAGGGGCAAACGAGAAACCAAGCGACCGGGGGCCAGCCGAGGGCCAGGCGCGACCACAGCAAACGACTGACAACCGACGGACAACCGAAAAAGGACAAAAACAGCCAAGGAGGGGCAGACGAGAGACCGAGCGACCGAAGGCCAGCCGACGGCTTGGCGCGAACGCACCAGCCGACGGACAACCGACGGACGACCGAAAAATAACCAAAACCAGCCAGGAACGAGCAGACGAGAGACCAAGCGACCGCGGGCCAGCCGAGGGCCAGGCGCGACTGCGGCAACCGACGGACAACCGACGGGCAAGCAAACAATCATCAAAACGTGCCAGGGAGGGGCAGACGAGAGACCGAGCGACCGAGGGCCAGCCGAGGGCCAGGCGCGACCACATCATCCGACGGACAACCGACGGACAGCCGAAACATAACAAAAAACAGCCAGGAAAAGGCAGACGAAACCGAGCGACCGAGGGCCAGCCGAGGGCCAGGCGCGACCGCAGTCACCGACGGACAACCAACGGACAGCCGAAGAAATACCCAAATCCAGCCAGGAAAGGGCAGACGAGAAACCGAGCGACCGAGGGCCATGGCGACCGACGGACACCCGACGGACAACCGAGCGACCGAGGGCCATGGCGATCGACGGACACCCGACGGACAACCGAAAAATAACCAGAAACAGCCAGAAAGCGGCAAACGAAAAACCGAGCGACTGAGGGCCAGCCGAGGGACAGGTGCGACCATGGCAACCGACGGACAACCGAAAAATTATCAAAACATGCCTGGAAGGGGCAGTCGAGAGACCGAGCGACCGAAAGCCAGCCGAGGACCATGCGCAACCATAGCAACCGACGGACAGCCGACGGACAACCACCAAAGCCAGCCTGGACGGGACAGACGAGAGACCGAGCGACCGAGGGCCAGCCGAGGGCCAGGCGCGACCGCAGCAACCGACGGACAACCGACGGACGACCGAAAAAGAACAGAAACCATCCAAAAAGGGGCAAACGAGAAACCGAGCGACCGAGAGCCAGCCGAGGGCCAGGCGCGACCATGGCAACCGACGGACAATCGACGGACAACAGAAAAAACGAGCCAGGAAGGGGCAGACGAATGACCGAGCGAATGAAGGCCAGCCGAGGGCCAGGCGCGACCACAACAACCGACGGACAACCGAACAATAACGACAGCCAGCCAAGGAGGGGCAGACGAGAGACCGAGCGACCGCGGGCCAGCCGAAGGCAAGGCGCGACCACAGCAACCGACTGACAACCGACGGGCAACGGAACGGGCAGACGAGAGACCGAGCGACCGAGGGCCAGCCGAGGGCCAAGCGCGTCCGCAGAAGCCGACGGACCACCGACGGACAACCGAAACATAACCAAAACCAGCCAGAGAGGGGCAGACGAGAAATCGTGCGACCGCGGGCCAGCCGAGGGCCAGGCGCGACCACGCAGACACCGACGGAAAACCAGCGCCCAGCCGAAAAATACCCAAAACGAGCCAGGAAGGGGCAGACGTGAGACCGAGCGACCGAGGGCCAGCCGAGGGCCAGGCGCGACCGTAACACCCGACGGACAACCGACGGACAACCCGAAAAAATACCACACCTGCTTGGAAGCGGCAGACGAGACCCCGAGCGACCGAGGGCCAGCCAATGGACACGCGCGACCACAGCGACCGACGGACAACCGACGGACAACCGAAACAGAACCAAAACCAGCCCGGGAGGGGCAGACAAGAGACCGAGCGACCGAGGGCCAGCTGACGGCCAGGCGGGCCACAGCAACCGAAGGACAACCGACGGACGACCGAAACATAACCAAAACCAGCCAGGCAAGGGCAGACGAGAGACCGATCGACCGAGGGCCAGCCGAGGGCCAGGCGCAACAACCGACTGACAACCGACGGACAACCGAAAAAATAACAAACACCAGCGAGGAAAGGGCAGACGAGAGACCGAGCGACCGAGGGCCAGCCGAGGGCCAGGCGCGACCACAGCAGCTGGCGGACAACCGACGGACAATTGAAAAATGATCAAGACCTGCCTGGAAGGGGCAGACGAGAGACCGAGCGACCGCGGGCCAGCCGAGGGCCAGGCGCAACCATAGCAACCGACGGACAGCCGAATAATAATCAAAACCAGCCAGCAAGGGGCAGACGTGAGACCGAGCGACCGAGGGCCCGCCGACGGCCAGGCGAGACCACCGCAACCGCAGGACAACCGACGGACAACCGAAGAATAGCCAGAACCAGCCAGGAAGGGGCAGACGAGAGACCGAGCGACCGAGGTCCAGCCGAGGGCCGGGCGCGACCATAACAACCGACGGACAACCG